GTCTAATTTGCTCGGTTTGATTCATGGTCCTTCATGCTACTCCCCCCAAACCCTTTTTCCACAGCCGACCTGCAGCAGACGTTCAGTCACTGAGCCGCCGTAGCAGCCGACCGCAGACTTGCACAGCTTTGCAGCCGCGTCTTTCGAGTGCGTTGGAAACCATCTTTTCCACCTTGCGGTTCTTCGCCTTTCTTCCCATCGGGAAATTGAGTGTAACTGAAAACCAATGTCAGAGTGTCCCACCCTGTACCAAAGGGTCCCACTCGGTTTTCCAGCAGGGGCGTGTGACACTCTTATCCTATCACACGCAATGAAGCTGCGTGTGTGTGTGTGGCACCCTCCGTCTCCAGGAGTTTCGACAGGCTTTTAATCTTGCAGGGGGCAGTAGCCCACTCATAAGTCTACCGCCAACGAAGCTGCTCATGAGTTGGGAGGATATCGGAGCTGATCACTCCGACGTACCTGCAACTGAAAATTTTGGCCAAGTTTTTCCACTCCTCGGTTTTGCTTTCATGGTGGTTATGCACGCTATACCCCAAAACAGGTTTCCCTCCGCCGTTTTCAGCTGCCGTGCTCTGCAGACATGTGAACAGATTGTTCAACAATTCAGTTGCGCTGACTGCTTCACCATTCGTTTCCCTCATCCATTTCACTCTGGATTATGGCTAACGGAAAACCCAGCAACTAAGTGTGTATCGCTGGGTCGTCCCAGTTGGTTGCACAGTGTGATCCCCCGCAAGGGGGCGCTGAGACTTCGTGAATCCCAGATTGATTTAGCGTTTCCTGCTTCGTTGGATTATGGTTTTGGAATCTCTTGCGTTTCACCCATGGATCACCTCATCGCAAAGCGGCCGCGCATACGAAGTCTCTGTTTCAACCGCAGAAGTTCAGCGTCAAGCTCGTTCACGCGCTTGTTCATGCGAGCGACCTTTTGATTGACACTTTCCGGACTGGCGTCCCGCCTTCACACCATCTAATTACAAGTACACCTTCCCACCGGCAGCTGCGGAAGCTGCAGCCAACCACCTCGTCCACTTGTACATCCACAAAGGACACGCAGCAATTGACTGCCAACGGTTTTTGAAGAGCGGTAAAAGACACCACCCTACCACGAGCGAGCGCCGATGATCGGCGGTTTGCGTGTGTGTTACCCTCCGTCTCCAGGAGTTTCGACAGGCTTTTAGTCTTGCAGGGGGCAGTAGCCCACTCATGGGTCTACTGCCACCGAAGCTGCTCATGAGTTGGGAGGATATCGGAGCTGATCACTCCGGCGTACCTGCAACTGAAACTTTTGGACAAGCTTTTCCACTCCTCGGTTTTGCTTCCATGGTGGTTACGCACGCTATACCCCAAAACAGGTTTCCCTCCGCCGTTTTCAGCTGCCGCGCTCTGCAGACGACAAGTGAACAGATTGTTCAACCATTTAGTTGCGCTGGCCGCTTCACCATTCGTTTCCCTCACCCATTTCAGTGTGGATTATGGCTAACGGAAAACCCAGTGACTAAGTGTGTCCCACCCTGCGCCAAAGGGTCCCACTCGGTTCAGCTTTTGCTTCCAGCAGGGGCGTGTGACACTCTTATCCTATCACACGCAATGAAGCTGTGGATAAGAGTGGGAAGGGAAACTTGGCCGGTTTCCTGTACTGCGTGTAGCGTCCCTGGATGACTAACACATTAAGTTGGGGTCATAGCTGGGAGCTACCGTGACTTTTCTGCACGCCGTTAATTTATTCAAGAGTGCGTGCGCGTGCGTGCAGCTATTCAGGTTTCCGCCGACGTGCGCACCGCCGGTGCGAGGGAGCGCCGCGAAGCGGCCACATGTGTGTGTGTGTGTGTGTGTCAAACCCCGTTTCTAAGGGCTGTTCACACGCAGGGGGCCATCCCTCTCACCAGTGGTGGATGGCCACCGAAGAGGCCACTGGTCAAAGCTGTAAACGTACATGCACAAACACACCGACTCCAATAGTTCTCCCTCCGTGGTTTTGTTGTTTTCACGATAGTTTTCACGCTATTCGCCTAGACCTCCCCCCGCAGAGTTGCTGCTGAGCCACCGCCGCTTTCTGCAGACAAGCGAACCAATTGATAAACATTCCAAGTGCGCTGACTCCTTCCCCGCCGTTCCCTCATCCGTGGACTATGATACTGGATGAACCTGTGACTAAGTGTGTATCGCTGTGCTTTCCCACTTGGGCGTGCAGCGTGATCCCGGCAAGGGGCGCCGAAACCACCGTGTATCACAAATTGACTTTGCGTTTTTGCGTTCTGGGATTCTGATATTGGGTTGAATTGTTTCACCGGTGAATCAACTGAGCCATACGCCGCCGGGCTCACGGACTAAACGCCGCCGGGCTTGCGGAGAATGAACCCCCACCCCCACCCCCTCCCCTCTTTCCTTCCTGCGGTTTCTTCGTTTGTTAGGCAGGTGTTTCTTCAGGCTTGTTCGGTTGTTCTTGAGGCTCGTTTCCCTGCCCCTCTTTTTTCGTTTTTCGCTTTACTTCTAGTCCTAATTAGGGTAGCAGACGGACGTGGTACTCGACAGGTGCCTTTCCTTCTGTTGTCCCTGTTCTAGTCTACTCTACCCGGGCGGTCTATGACTAAAGCCCCGCACCCTAACTACTGCACGCAATTAAAGACTGCTAAGTATTCAGTAACTAGAGACTTCTAATCAGGGTAACAGAAGGAAATGGTACTCGACACACTCGTGCGTCAGCACCTTTCCTTCTGTTGCCCCTTGTCTATTCTACTCTACCCGGGCGGTTTAAGACTAAAGCCCTGCTCCCTAACTATTGCACGTAATTAACGACCGCTAAGTATTCAGTAACTAGTTTTACCTTTTTAACTACACCTACCTTTCCCTCTTGCCCTCTTCGTTTTCTCTTTCTGTCTTCCTTTCCTTTCTCAGGCTCGTTAGGTGCCTATTCAGGCTTTGACTTCGTAATTTGCCGTTCGTTCGGCAGACATGCATGGCCTTACACCTATCTTTCTTTCTTCTCCTTTCCTTCTTGCTCTTTCTGTCTTTCTTTCTTTCCTTTCTAAGGCTTGTTAGGCAGCTATTCAGGTTTCCGCCGGTTCAGTTTTCGCTTCCAGCAGGGGCGTGTGACACTCTTGTCCTATCACACGCAATGAATCTGTGGATAAGAGTGGGAAGGGAAACTTGGCCGGTTTCCTGTACCTGCATGTAGCGTCCCTGGATGACTAACCCATTAAGTTGGGGTCATAGCTGGGAGCTACAGCAGCGTCCCTGGATGACTAACCCATTAAGTTGGGGTAATAGCTGGGTGACTTGTCTGCATGCCGTCAATTCAAGAGTGCTAAGGATTCAGTAACTAGTTTCCGGAATCCTTTGTTAACAATGTTGCCAGCCATTGCGGTTTTGCGAGTCAAGTTCGAAGTATTCACCCTGGATTGTCTCTCGAATGAACCCCCTATCGAAGCGTGTCGATCATTGCTGTAGGCCAAAGGTCTGCCAAACACCAGGGAGCACGGGAAAGCACAACTGGCCTGTTCCAGCAGCGGAAATGTTAGGATCGCATGCGGACCTTAAGGATGATTTGCTACTTGGCTTCGACAAGGTGAGCTTGAATTGTTGAAGCTGCCAGACAATGCAGTTCCAAGTTCAAACAAAGTGCAAGTCATTCTGAACCCCTAGCCCCCAGCCAAGTCGACAATAGGCAGGCCACCATCCACGGAAGAGACTCAACACACCCTGGATCGTCGTGATAGAACTTCAAACAAAAGAAACTTCAAGGCTATTCACAAGTGCCTTTTGTGTTCTATGGCAAGGGACCTGCTTCTGAAGGATGAAGCGAAGAGCATCAGGAAACCCTCGAGGAAAACGCGAGCCTCAAGTCTACGATACTTAGCTAATTCTTCGCGAGATCACTTGACTTTGACAGTCTCCAACACTTGCTGACATGCAAAAGATTGAGCTGGGCTCTTCAGATAGGTTGGCTGTGAAAAATCAGGAGCAGAAATCCAAGCATGGGTTGAGAGTATGTCTGAACAACACCTTGTGGTTTCTCAAAAACTATGATGTCTTTCCGAACCGAGACCCTGGCCGTCATCGACCATGACACGACTCTTCAGCGTGTCAAATGGTGCTGCTACAGTAGTAGCAACAACACCTGACTTCTTTATATGACCTATTTCGTGCAACTTCCACAAAAGCGCAAACACTCAAAGGGCAGACTTCTGTATTGTTTGTAGCGGTCTCCAACTACACACACATTTAGCAATGCCTCAGCTAGACGATAGTTTACTATGATATGCAACCAGTTGCACGAAGCCTGTGATCAGTGAGCTGGCCACATGTAATGAGAATGGCTCTTTGGTTCCTGCTTCGCTTCGGCCTGCAAAAGGTGTTGAACCCCTACCAAACTAATTCACAACACAGCAAAACCCAAAGGAATGCGTGAAAATTGCTCTTGTTTCTCAAGTGGACAAGGATCGAGCCACAAACCTGAAAATATTGGCAATCCTGAAAGCCGAAAACTCAAGGTCATAGCAACCCAGGCACATGATTTTTGTCTCTTTTGTCGATTCGCCTTGACACTCCCCAAGTGCTCAGCTATGCCATATCAAGTATGGAGAGTTCAGTTTGAAGCTGCAGTTTCCCTAAAAACCTAGGAACCAAATGAATAGTGTGAGCGTTTCCTCCCCCCGCTGCCCCAAGCTATCCTGCGTCCTGGTAGGTAGCAACGTGTTCCCTCTATCCGCGGTACACCCCCCGGCCTAAAAACAAAATAACAACGTAATTCTGTTAATTTTAGTATTGTAATTAATGTTTACTTTCCATATTTTTAGCGAACCATTTCCACGCGAATGGTTCGCTGCCTGACGGGGTGTTGGTGTGACGGCCCTACTCGCAATAGCCAGAAGATCTTGGAAGGGTTTGTAGGCGTTGCCTGGCTGAGAAAGACAGCAGGGACAGTAAGCGTTCTCGTGTTTTGCCGCTGACTTTTCAAGTGGCGGTTGCTTTCTTGAGTTTAAGGCATGTACGTGCAGCAATGCTGACAGAACGGGTTTGTATGGTCACCGCGCGCCTTGATGGAAAAAAGGAACATTGAGGCAACGGTATTCTGCTGGCGAGCAAGCAAATGCTGCGTTTTCTGTCAAATTGACAACACAGTTGCAAAGGTTACCCCACCACTGGAATGTCTGCGCATGAGGCTAGGTCAATGGACAGACCTTTCCGTCCTGCAGTTCCTCCGAATTGGTGGTGCTGCTTTTGAGATGTCGATTTTGGTTGCATGCTGTAGAGAAGCTGTTCCAGTTTTTCTGCTGTGCGCGCCTGGCAAGAGGACCATAAGAAGCTCGTAGGTGCACAAGCCCGCCTTTTGTTTGCTGCTGGTCTTTGCTTGAACTTTCCTAGGGTGTAGGCCTGTGCCTGTGCAATCTCGCATCCATGTCCAGCAGGCTCGAAAGTTCAACCTGAGAAGCTGCAAAACGAAAGCCAGCGCTTCCCTTTCTCGACAACTGCGCGTCGAAGCAATCAAATGAGCTCGCGCAGCCGCTTGCGGCCGCGTGTCAAATCTGCTTCATGTCTTGTTCTGCCCACACATAGGTAACCATGCAAAAGCAAAATATGCACTCTTGCATCACCACCAGCTCCAAAATCATTAAGACATCACCTCCAAGAGTTTACGTATACCTTTCTCGGGCCACCCCCCCCGACCCCCGACCGACTTCACACATAGATAATTCCCATCCACATTCAGATGAAGCAAAAGCCAAACAATGCACCAAATTCGAGGTGGCCTGGGACCAGAGGCTCGCTGCCCGAAACTATATGTTCAGGCCACCTCAGAAATGAAGATATGCGAAGCAAGGGTCCTGAGGCGTCTCTGTGACAAGGCTTTTGTTAAAACAGACAGTTTTTCCAGCTAAATTCAAGGTGGCCTGAGACCAGGGTTTGCTGCCCTAAAACACTCTGTTCAGGCCACCTTAAAAATGAAGGTCTGCGAAGCGAGAGCAGAGGATGCACATTGTCCTTCTGCTGCTTGAATGTGGCCTTTTGTTTACTTAAAAGTTCAAGACCTCCCAGCTGTTTCCACCTCTTCGCTTCCCAGTCTTCCCAGGGTTCATATAGGGAGCCAGGCCATTTT